TCTTCCCCCCCGCATTAATCCTTCATTTTCATGCCATAAAGGGGAAGTGTTACCACTAAATTTCCCAATTTGTCTTCAAGAAGGCCCCACTGGTGTCTTTCAACTGCGTAATTACACAGAAGTGTTAAACCACTTCTCTAATCTGTGTGTAGAGACACTTAATTGCTTCAGTTTACTTGGAAGTAGAAGTTCTTCCTCTGGAAGAATACTTAGGGTTGATAAATACCTTATGTGGGAATTGGTTCTGGGCAAGAGCAACGTTGTGACCTCACAGGCACTGGGAAGATGCTGCTTGGGCACAGACTCTCCAGACAGTCCTCACCAGGAGCTTTAGGATGTCTCCCAGGTATGGACTGTGCCCAACACCCTTGTTGGGAAGAAGACCAAGTAAGTGGTTGTGGCTTGAGGTTTAATTAACTGTGTCCAGCTCTGGGGCATCAACACAAGAGGGACGTGGAGCTGCTGGAGCAAGGCCAGAGCGGGCCCCGGAGCTGCTGCGAGGGCTGGAGCAGCTCTGCTCTGGAGCCAGGCTGAGAGAGCTGGGCTGGGGCAGCTGGAGAAGAGAAGGCTCCTGAAGGGGACACCTTAGAGCAGCTCCAGTGCCTAAAGGGGCTGCAGGAGACCTGGAGAGGGGCTTTGGACAAGGGATGGAGGGACAGGACAAGGGGAATGGCTTGAACCTGCCAGAGGGGAGACTGAGATGAGATATTACTAAAAACTAAAATGACTGAAACTAACTACAGTTTTAACGACAGACAAAACCTAATTTCACTTTATTCATTGTTCTTTCTTCTGGTCAAACCCTTTAGGCTTAGCACCTTGTTGCTCAGGCTGCTGTCAGTGAGGAGTGAGCTTAAGGAACTTCATCCTTTCCCTGGCTGCTTGTTCTCCTCTCACGAGTGTGTGTCCCAGTTGTTTGTGGCTGTGCCATAAAACAGATCACTGGAATAATATAGATTAAAAATAGCTGTGAACGAACAAGGGAACAGCCTGGGGGGAGCTGAGCGGTGCTTCTGTGAACCCCAAGGGGAAGGAAAAAGCTTGGGTCTCGCTTGTCCATGAGCTAAAACCAGCAAAAAGGCAACATTCCCCCAGCCATGGAGAGGAGGAAGTGAATTTTGCTGCTTCTGCTGGAATTCCAGGTTTTATCTGTCTCAGAAAGACCCTGGAGACACTTCACTGTGTCTGGAGACAATGAAGCAATGATGGCCTTGGAGACAAAAGGGAATGTTGCTTGTGGAGGGGCAGTTAGCTGAGTATTCAGAAATAGTGTCTGCCAAGTTTGGCTTAATTTGAATGACACAGAGTGGTAGAACTGAATTTCTTTAGAAGAATTGGGGTAATTTTAAGTTTCAGGTAATAAAACCTGCAGCAAGTGCCTCAAGTGCAGATTGATGTCCCTTGTCTTTTGATCCCCCTCATTCCACTTGCAGAGCACAAACTGCAAATGCAGGAAGTTTGGGAAGCAGTTTGATGTGAGAGCTCCCCATTTCCATCGGTGCTGGGCCTCTGCAGTTCACATCTTTTACCCAGTTGGTTGTTTGTCCTGAGCTTTGCTCCAGGAAATACCTTTCCATGGAGTTAACTGGCAGCTCTGCAGGGTGCACCACTTCTTTGGTAGCTCCTGATAGCCAGGATCTCTTCTTCAGTGTTGACATGAGCTCCCTTGTGCTCTTTCAAAGGAAATGCAACCTAATAACCCCCCACTTTTGGTTTCTACAGTTAGCTGATGCCTGTGTGCAGCTATTTCCAGGTGCTTTGGGAAGGTGTACAGAACCCAAACACAGCCAGAGTGTGGTGTGAGCCTTGCTTGGGAGAGGTCTGGTCTGCATCCAACTCCAGACCAGCCTTGCAACTGCACTTAAAGACTCCAAATTATCTTGGGGGGGGCGGGGGATTATGTGCATATATGTTGATGTGCTTAATGGGAACATTCTCCTGTTCTGAGGTGTGGGCTTTTGAGGTATGTATTCTCTGTGCTTTCCACCATTTCCTTTCAACTGGGAATGACTCTTCCAATGCCTTCCTCCAGAGCATGAGCCTGAGCTTTACCTTTCTCCCCCAAGGAGAAGTGGTTCTAACCGCTTATGTTCTTTGCAGACCAGTTTGACTTGGCATTTAGAAGTTCGGAACTAACATGTAGAAGCAATGAGGATTTCCCTCTGGCCAAAGGGATTCAGTTGGAAGTAGAGAAATCATTCCCAACGCATTCCCTAGTAGCAGGGTTTCAGGAGAAGGTTTAAGCCATAAGAAATCATTCTGGTGATGTGGAGTCACTGAACGTAGGGCTTCGTTTTGCTGTTGAGCTTGGGTTGCATGTTGCTACCTGTGGCTCTTTCAGGTGAAGAACTTTATTTGTCAAATGTGATCTCTGATAGTCTGAGTCTCTCAGAGTGAAAACAGGGAGTAAGTAGTGAGTTGGAGCAGTGGCCTTAGAGTAAAGTACTAGATGCAGAGTCAAGTTGGGAGTCTTGGACTCCTTAAAGCAAATGATATGCTGGGCTTATTCCTGTAAGGAGTTGCACATTGAAAGAATGAGTGGAGGTGGTATATCCCCTCTCCAGAAAACATATGGCAACACTTGGGAATGTTTAACTAGAACAACACATTTTGAAGGAGGGAGGGAGAGAGCACGATGATGGCTTTAACGTGTGTCCCATGCGATTTACCAGCACTCCTGAAGGTTGGTTTGGGGTTTTCTCTTTAATCTTAATTTTTTTCCTCTTCTCTCTTGCTGGGACTGACAGAGTGAAGCTCAGTTGTGAATTTCTTCTGCTGAGTGGTGAAATCCTGTTGAATCTTCAAACTGGCGATGTCAAGAGTGCCGAGTCCTCCCCCTCCGGCAGAAATGTCGAGTGGACCTGTAGCAGAAAGCTGGTGCTACACTCAGGTAAGTCCCCAATTTGCCGAGATGTTCTTGACACGATTAGAACCCTGGGGTTAACAAACTATTCAAAACCAGTTTTGAATCTGGCAGTGTTCAAAGCCAGCTTGGACGGGGCTTGGAGCAACCTGCTCTAGCTGAAGATGTCCCTACTCATTGCAGGGGGGTTGGACTAGATGAGCTTTGAAGGTCTTTTCCAACCCAGACTATTCTATGATTCCATGATTTTCCAAAGCAACAGCGGAGTGTTGTCCTCTGTACTTGGCAAGGAGAACTTTGGGGAAGGCAGTTGAGAGGTTGGAGTGGTCCAGCTGCCTCTGTTGGCTTGTGCTTGGGGTTGTTTGTTATGCAGATAACTCAGTAAAACTTCCAGGTTTTCAGTTTTTGCCTTTAAGATGGACAGGGTGAATGAGCGTGACCCTAAACCACCTCTTCTCTGTTTTAAGATCAAGGTAGTGAAGTTTTCCTACATGTGGACCATAAACAACTTTAGCTTCTGCCGAGAAGAAATGGGTGAGGTCATCAAAAGCTCAACGTTTTCATCTGGAGCCAATGACAAACTGAAATGGTAAGGAATACAGCAGAGAGGTTCACCCTGTTGTACAACTGTGTGAAAGAATTTGGGGTTCTAGAACAGAGAAAAATCTATAAAATATATCTAGAAATACAGAAGAAAGTATTTGTACTGCACAAATGGGCTCTTGCTTCCTTGAATGTACGACGTGTGCACAGAGGAGCTGCTGTTGCTTCAGCATAGTATTTGGACACACAAAACAACTGCTGTTTGCAGTGTTTGCTGATGGAAACCATCAGCTTTAATGGAAACCCATAGCTGGAAGGGAGACTACATCCTGCCTTGAAGCTGAGATGTGCTGTGGAGGATTAGCAGTGTCTTAATTTGGGTGTTTTTTTGGACTGAGTTCTTACAGAGCAATGAGAGTCCACAGCCTGTGTGCTCAAGCTCTATTTCAGCCTCCCACTTTCAGTGCCTAATACTCCATGTTGTTAAAAAGGTAATTTTTGCCTGCACTCTAAATCCTGCAATAGAAGACTGTTGCTACTGCATTACCTTTCTGTTCATGGCAGCTTTTTGGGGATTTGGAGACTTAACGTAGAGGTGATGGAAGTAACAATGTTCTGTAACTCCTTCTACACAGGAGTTTCTGCTTCTTAAAGCTGACATTTTTTGCCCTTTCCTATGAAACTTTCCCTGCCTTCCTTGAGTTCTCCTTGAGTAACTCAGAGTGGTCAGAATGTGCATCAACTGTGGGTCGTGGCTGACCCAGTAGATCCATGGGCACCCGGTTCCCTGTTTTACCCTTTGTTGATATTAAATGTGTTAACATTTACCTTTAAACCTCCTTAGGATAGATTGCAGCAAATCAGCCACTAAATCATTTAGTGTGTCTGTGATACAGTTTGTGTTCCCTTCCTTTGGGTGGCAGCCCTGTGCTTTCCTTGGGCTGCTCTTTGCTGTTACATTACTTTACCTTTACAACCTTGGCAGGGCAGATCTCACTCGATGTCTTCCTGCTTTTTTTGCCAGTGTGTCTTCGAGTTGTTGGTCATTTGACCTAGATCTTGCTTTTGGTACGATTCTGTGGCAAGTTTCAGGTCATGGAAGTGCTCATGGGTTAAGCCTCTTCCTGCGCTTACTACGTTGTCTTCACACAGGAGTAGTTGTCTCTTTTTTGCCCTAGTATGATGGTGTTTGTGAAACTACCAACCTTCCAGAACCCCAGTTTTCCTTTCAGTTGCTTCCTGTGGAATTTTTACCAATAATTTCTCTGAATTTGTTGCACTTCTCAAATCCGCTGCTTCCATATGACAATTTCTTTCACTTTCCTTTTGGGCAAATTGACATCCAGGGTTCTATTTAGTAATTTAAACTGTTTAAACCCCTTCCTCTTTCCCCCTGTGTTTTGTTGCTTTGCCCATAATTAATGCCAGTATATTATTATCTGTCTTGGAGATGTAGCATGAGTCTGAGTGCAACGTGCAGTTCCACTCTTATTTACCCATCTGTTATTTCAGTGTGGCTGTTAAACAGAACTGATTTACTGTACATTTGATGGTGGAAACTCTACAGTGCCCTTTCTTTGAAGGCTGTGAATGACCTGCCAGCGCCTGGCCCTGACATCTCATTCAGATCCCTGCTTTTACAGGTGTTTACGTGTGAACCCCAAAGGCTTGGATGAAGAAAGTAAAGATTATCTATCCCTCTATCTGCTGCTGGTGAGCTGTCCAAAAAGTGAAGTTCGAGCCAAGTTCAAATTCTCCATCCTGAATGCTAAAGGAGAAGAGACAAAAGCAATGGGTGGGTAAAAACTCTTTGTCTGGTCTGCTGGGGTCAGGTTGTCGTTTGCTGTTTGATGAAGTGAGTCTCAGCTGGTGTCTGAAGCACCATCTCTCTCTTTCAGAGAGCCAACGAGCCTATCGATTTGTACAAGGCAAGGACTGGGGATTCAAAAAATTCATTAGAAGAGACTTTCTTTTGGATGAGGCCAATGGACTTCTTCCAGATGACAAACTCACTCTCTTCTGTGAGGTAAGTCTTCCTGTGCCGCGGAAAGAACAGCACTTCCATTAGCTGGAGGTAGATGTGACCTGATTTATTCATCATTGCTTTTACAGAGGCAGAGGTGTCAGGAGAAATCCTGCCTGGTTTTTATGGCACTTAGGTTTTATTTGGGCACGTGTGTGGCTGGTGGCTGCTTCTGGGTGTGATTCATTGTGGTTCGCTCCCATGCATTTGTGTGTTACTTTAGATTTGTCTTTTTTACCTGGGACGATGATAGGAATGGAACATCTTTGATTATCATTTCACTTGTGGTTTAGTGTTGTCGTCCATCTGTTTGTACTCTTTAAGTTGAAACTCACTTGGGATAATAACCAACACTAGCTCTGTGGTGGCAACTGGCCTGCCTGTTACTTGCCTGCTGCATAAAGAAAGAGTTCTCTTTCTCTTCCTAAGTGGGTCCATACAGCCAGCAACAAGACAAACAGAAGAAGAAGGAATTTTGTAGGAACCACAATTTTCTCTTCATTGTGTTTGTATTTGTCTCTCAACTGCTTACGAAATGATGATTTCAATAGTACTAATTTCAGACAAAGATGCAGTTATTTCTACAACTGGATATTTAAGTTTCAAATGAGCAAATTGAAACTCTCCAGGGCCTTCAGAGCTTCTGCTGCCTTCACTTCTATTGTCTTCTTAACTGCAGAATACCTCCTGTAGCTGTGATTTTTGCCAGAAGACAGGTAGAACAAGTTGTTCTCTCTTTGGATCTCCTGCAGTGGTGTTTTTTGTGGGAGTCTTTTCTTTTGCTGTGTGTTCTTTCAGGAGTGAAGGAAATGCTTCAGAGCTGTTCAACAGTTGGGGTTTTTTGGAGGTTTTTTCTGGCTTGGGTTTGCTGTTTGGGTTTTCTTTCCAGTTTTGCTTGGCCATCATAAGCATTCACATGTTTAAATTCTCCTAAAGGATCAGTAGCATAAATAATTACTGTCACGGAGGGAGCCCTTTCTTTAACACTTGATCCTGCCCCTCTGCTCTGCTCTCATAAGACTCCGCTTGCAGCACTGTGTGCAGGGCTGGTGTCCTCAATGTAAGGACATGGAGCTGTTGGAGCAAGTGCAGAGGAGGCCACAAGGATGAGCAGGGGCTGGAGCAGCTCCTGGCTGGAGACAGGCTGAGAACATTGGGGCTGGAGAAGAGAAGCTGCTGGAGAGCTCAGAGCAGCTTCAGGTTCTGAAGGGGGCTACAAGGATGCTGGATTTCCCCCACCAATGGCAGTTTAATGGTGCTCTGAAGTATCCAGCTGGAGGCTTCAGGTTGATCCAAGCACCTGGGATCCACCCAGAGCCTGGAAATCCCATTTTGGTGTTAGGAGGTGACTAAGAGTTCTCCCATCCCTGGCAGTGTTCAAGGCCTGGTTGGACACAGGGGCTTGGAGCAACCTGCTCCAGTGGAAGGTGTCCCTGCCCGGGGCAGGGGTTGGAGCTGGATGATCTTAATGTCCTTTCCAACCCAAACCATTCTATGAATATTGGAGAAGGGCAGTGTCTTGGCGGACACCTCTGCGGGTCTGGCAGTTGCTCTTTCCTCCATGATGAAAGAGACAGAAAACTGACAATTGTGGAGTGAAACTCCAAAATGAAAGTCTGAGAAGGGAATTTGCAAGGTGCAGTGTAGCTAAACCTGAGCTCCACCAGTAGTCTTGGCAACTGGTACTAATTCAAGTCACTTCACTCTTTACTGAATTACTCCTTTAAAAGCTTCAGCTTGGTGGTTTTGTTTGTTCTGGATGAAGAGAGAACTTGCTGCTGCCTTCACCTGGCCTTGATATCTTCTGTTTTCTCTTTCAGTTTGTTCTCCACTCGAGCATGTAAGAAAGCTGAAGTTTAGTGATGTGAGAGGGAAGGTTTTGCTGTCTGGAAACAGTTTGGCAACAGCTTTCACCAGCTTCCTTTGGGGGTTTTATTCTCCCCACTCTTTCTTTCTGGTTTTTTCCCTTCTCCTTCCTGAGCTTACAAGTCTCTTAGCATGTAAACCAGTGTGCCATATGCTCTCCTAATGCTTCCCTGCTGGCCACAGGTGCCAGGTGATGCTGCTCACATCTGTACTTTCAGCAAGCATGTTCTGCATGTAGAAACTCTCCAAGGAGTCAGCAATACTTGATGTTTGTTAGGTGGGGATATGTTGGGAGTTTTCTGGAGACCAGAAGGTTGTCTCTGCTGCACCTTCTCATTGCATTATTGAAGGGAAAAGGTTTTTTCCTCTCTGCTCATGTCTGGTGCTGAACACAGATGATGTCTTGCTGCAAATGCCGTTAGGGCAGAGAGTGATATTTCTTGTCAAGTGTTTCACATCTGACCTCACTTAGTTGCCAGTTGGGGGATTTCTCAACTGCTGTTTTGCAGGTGGGGTTGATTGTTCATATCCCAACTGCATCGCTCTTTGCTCTTCCAATTCTCTTCTGACATCATAGGGAAATAGCTTTCTGGTAAAGCTCCACAAAGAATGGTGTTCCCAAAGTCACAGTAACAGCTCTCTTCTGAGCTCAGCAGCATTGCTGCCCTTGCTAAGGTGTTGAAAACACCTTGAGCAAAACCTTCCCTGTTTTGACCTCTAAGGCTGATCACCACTTGGAATCTCAACTCCTTATGTAAAAGGCCATGTAATAGATTTTCATGCCAGTAATTGACTTTCTGTCATCTATGAAGAGGGATTATTTGTTGATTTGAGACACAGGTAGCACGTGGTTTTTTGGCTGGTCTGTAATCAGTGTTGGATTCCAGCAAGGGAGCTACAGCTTGGAATTCCTTTGAATGAATCTGACCAGTTTTCAGCCATCACTGGGTCCATATTGCTGGTCTGGATGGCACAGGGTAAAACCATGATGTAGCTGTCAAATTCATGATGAAGAATATTAGTTTCCTCATATTTGGCAGGGGGTTGGAACGAGATGATCTTTCAGGTCCCTTCCAACCACAGTCAGGTTCTATGGTTCAGCTCTGGCTAATCATTAGTGTCCTTTGGCAAACAGCATCTGATACGTGTTTGGGTTTGGGTGTTCAACCGTGGCTGCCATCAGAAACCCACTGGAGGTTTGTAGCTTCCCTGCCAGTCACCTTCTTCCTTTCCTCTTTGTTAGAGCAGGGTGGTGGTAGTCACTCTGATCTCTCCTAACTGGAGTCTGCTGTAGAAGGTTCTGATTTACCCTGTGATTAACCATACTGGTTAGTGCTGAACTGGCTTTTAGTGGTTCCCTTTGGTAGGTTATTCACCAGCCAGCATGGATGGTCCCTGCCTAACCCTGTGTGCTTTAGAGCAGGTGATAAGGAATCTGCCTTCCCCAGAGCTTCCAGATTACTTGACACAAAGCTGCTTTTTTTAAAGCTTACTGTTTCTTTTAAAGTGCATTTTATAATGTGATGGAAGTGTTGAACTTTAAGCAATTTAGAACCAGGGGCAGCAAGAGGGGTCAGGCACTGCCCTGCTGCATACATGTGTGGATGCAGTGCTTGCTTATAGGAAGCTCTGTGTATGCTTCAGTTTCATCTGTCCTGCTGTCTGTATTGCATTATTGATTGGGGAGGGTTTAAAAGTGTTGATAGAAGGAAAAAACTAGGTCAGGTATGATGTCTATAGAAGCAGAAAACTAAGGTTCCACTTCCTTAGGAAACCATCTAACAAAGTTACAATGAAATCACATAGAAGTGCTGGTAGTTTGGGGTTGAGAAGACCTTCTGCTGGTGTGATTTAGGACTGGAGATGGACACTGAAAGAGCAGAGAACAGACTTTAGGCAGGGTAAAAAGGATGCCTTTAAAAACAGAGACGTTTTTAATCACACAGTGATCCTGCTTGAGAGATGTGGGTTTGGCTTTGCCTTTCCCTTCACCTGCCCTGGAAACAAAAGCTTCCTGCAGGGAGATGGGTTTTTACAGCGTGTGTGTTTGACTTTTAGGGGTGGTTTGCTTCCTTTTCCCCTCCAGGTGAGCGTGGTACAGGACTCTGTCAACATCTCTGGCCAGAACACCATGAACATGGTGAAGGTGCCCGAGTGCCGCTTGGCAGATGAGCTGGGAGGACTGTGGGAGAACTCGCGCTTCACCGACTGCTGCCTGTGCGTGGCAGGCCAGGAGTTCCAGGCTCACAAAGCCATACTAGCAGGTGGGTATGGAACTGGATGGGTCTTTGTGGGCTAGGAGACAACAACCTGATGGCAAATGGTTGTTTCTGAGTTGCTTCACCTTTAAAGGAGGCTTCTGCAGCTCTTTGAACTCCAGAGCTGTAGTACAAGGCAGTACCCTAAATCCTCCCGCACCCGGTTTGAAGCTGCATCAGCCACATTACTTGATGTCAAACCCTGAACTTCTCTACCAGTTGTATTAACTGGGGTTTCTTTTCCTCACTTCTGTAGCACGTTCCCCGGTCTTCAGTGCCATGTTTGAACATGAGATGGAAGAGAGTAAAAAGGTAAGTTGCTGACGGAGGGGGAACTTCTTTGCCCAGACGAATAGCTCTCTAGTCAGCTGTTAGCATCACTGGTCATGTCTAACTTAGCTAATGTTTGTGACTTGTCACCTTTTAGCTGGATTGCTGACATTAGGTGCAGGTCTGCTTCAGCCATCCTCAAGGGAAGAAGAACGGGATCAGGAGGCAGTTGTTACCTTTGTTATGCATAAAGAGTCTCGGGTGGGATAGGGAGAAGGAGAGAATGTGAAATACAACTTATGAGGTTTCCTTACTCCATCCACATGGGGTTTTTTCCTTCTTTTTCTGCAATTAGGCCACATTCTCAATAGTTTGGGCATTTCTGAACACTGAAAGAGCTTGGGTGGAAGGAAGCCTTTTGCTTCGTGTCAGGATCTTAATAAGCTCCCTTTTTGTGCTACAGAATCGTGTTGAGATCAATGATGTGGAGCCTGAAGTTTTTAAGGAAATGATGTGCTTTATTTACACGGGGAAGGCACCAAATCTGGACAAAATGGCTGATGACTTGCTGGCAGCTGCTGACAAGGTACAGTTGGGATCTAGGAGTGTTCAGAGAACCAGGAATGACACGTGCCTTGCTTTACACAGTGCTCCTTGGAGATAGCTGCAGGGTGTGGCTTATAGGTAAACCTGGAGGTAGTATCAGGCTGTGTATATAAGTTATCTATAGCTGTATAGATACATAACATACAGCAATCAGGAATTTCTGTCTCTGTTTCTCCTTTTTGAGCATTTTCCTCCTTTTTGAGCATTTTCTTGGCATTCCAGAGCATGTCTGTATTCGGCATGATCTAACATAAGAGCTGGGGATGAGAAGAAAATGGCACCATGAACCTGGTGATATCTTTTTAGTGTGATTATTACACTGCCAGGCAGCCACTGCCTCCTTCCCGTTGCAGCCCCAAGGACAGAAGAGAGTGCTCTGCTGACCAGTGAGCTGCTTTAACCCCTGGAAACCCCTAACACATAACCAAAACTATCTTTCCTTTTTCTTTTTTTCTCTTAAAAGTGAGCTTAGTGCTGGTGAAAGAGGCCAGTTTGACAGCACTGGAGACTAAAGCCCTGACTTTATCCATGGAACAGGTTCAAGCACGGGTAGCAGCAGTGCAAGATCCTCCACACTGCCCTGCCAATGTGCCTCAACTCTGAGCTGGAGGGACCACCTCTAGGGGTGAGACCGTAGTTCAGTCTCCATGCTCCTTCAGTGCTTGGATTCTCTTGTGGGTGCCAGTTAGGGTGGTGGATTTGAAGATGTGGATGCACGTAACCTTGTTCCACACAGCCACCACATGGCCATCAACTTCCCTGTCACTGCGGACCTGGGCTCCATCAAAAATGCTGATTTGAGAGGTGAAATGCTCCATATGCCAGGATTAGGCCACTGCAACTGGAGTGAAAGTGGGGAATAATGCAAGGAGATTCTCTGCTCGATTATAATCATTGCCACATATTTTATTCAGTATTTAAAGAGCACTGATTGAGAGCTCACATACCGTCTTTAACTGAGACAAGTGGAAGTAAGAAGCAGATCATTAAAGACAGAGTAGGCTTTAACTTTCAGTTCCTTGGCTTTTAATGTAGGGTTGGTTGTTTTTTTTCTCCCCTCTTAAACTCATTGGGTGTCTTTTAAAAGCAGAAATAAAACATCTTTCAGGAAAGCACTTAAACCATCTCCTATTTGCTCAAGAGACTGAAACAGCTTCTTCTGAGTTCCTCCTGTCTCTTGGGGAAAAGGTCTAATTAGACCAAAACCAAAACAAGGCCCATCTCCTCAGCCCAGGAGATACTATTTCAGCCTCTTGGGTAAGTACACTATTAGGTAGGGTGTTCTTTTAAAGTGTAATTAAGAAAGGGGGGAATCTGGGTACCTGAGAGACCAGAATGGCAGCTGTTGCCCAACTGTGTAATTAGAAGCTGAGCTATTTGTAGTGAAAATCGACATAAAAGTTGTACATGTGTGGAGGAGAATATTCAGTTGACAAAAGGAATGCTTTTACCTTTGTTTGCTGCTGGTTTAAGCTACTGACAGACAATAATATGAACTCATGGCTTGCCCCTCATTTGAAACTGATTTAGTTATTGATATAGATGGAGTAAGTAAATTTGATTTGCCTTCTGGGATGTTCTGGGGCAGGGGGGAGATAAAACTGTCCTGGTTATGAGTTCCATGCCTCAACTGAAGCAGTTGTTTTCATGGAGTCTTAAGTGGAAAGACTGTTCTTAGCATCTAAAATTAGGCATCTAAATTTAATCCGGATGGGGTGAGAATCTCAATCAGAATATAAAATCCATTTCTAGTAATGGTGTTTATCAGATGGCAGCGCTCCCAGCATCAGGCAGATGAGCTTGGTACCAGCTCTCTGGTCAGGTTGACAGAGCAGTCCTTGCAAATCCAGGATCTCTTCCATCTGTGGCCTCACATCCTGAAGAACGTCACCTCAGAGTTGTCCAGAAAAGCCTCATGAACACTATGAAGGATGCTCTCAAATGCACTTCTCTGTCACATAAATGAATCTGAAAGAGTTTTCTTTATGATACAGAAATGTCACTCCATTTGAAATCATAACCTGAAGTCTTAACCGTGTTTAATCTTTAGGACATTTTATGTAGTGCTAATGTCATTATTCATCTAAGAACTGCTTTAGAATTGACTACTCTTCTAGTGCCTGTGGAATGTAATCATGGGATCTAGAATATTCAGAATTACTCAGAAATACTCTTGTTTCTTTCATCCAGAGAGCTGCAGACCCCAGAATCAGCTCACACATGCCAAGAGTTTCACAAGTATCTTGCGCTTCCCAGCTATGATATTCTACAAGACTGAGGTTTGGGGCTTGGGTTTAATGTCTTGATAACACGTGGCTTAGCAGCTTTCTAAGTATTGACCTTTTTGAAGGCTGCCCAAGACCACTGTGTTGCTTTGGAAACTCTTGGCATGTCTTAATACTAACTGAAGTGCTGCAGCAAGTGGAGTGTGGAATTTATTAGTCAGCATTCTTCTTCTAAGCATCTCCTTTGAATTTCCCAAACCACTGACATGGCCCAACCTTTTGGATCTAAAAAGTCTTGAGGCAAATGCACAATTGAAGGGTAGAAACTCTTAGACTGAGAATGTGAAGTTAGAAAAGAGCTTTTGCCAGGGCATTAGAGACAGGCTGTGATTATTTTGCTTCCAACTGGACAACCACAAGAAATCAGGGGCATTTGTTTAACACTGGAGTATTAAACTAGTAGCACGTGCTGGAGCAAGGCTGATCTTAATGTGCAGGTCATTAATGGCAAAGAAATTGAGTGAAAACTGCCTGAACATCCCTGGAACACCTATGGAGCATTCACTGTGAGATAGGTCTTCCCACTGAACCTGAGTAATCCTGTCATGCTGTAGTAGAGTGAGAGTAAAGATTCGCCTTTAGCATTCTGTGCCTTGAAGTAACTGAGTATTACAGGAGACCTGAAACTCTCATTTCAAAGCATGAACACAGCACCACTAAGCCTGTAACAGAAGGAGGCCAGGCTGAGTTATGGTGGGTATGTTTCCTCTCCATTGCTTTCGTCGGGGTGGGCACTTTCTGCTCTTTATCTTTTTCTTGTTGCTGGTCACCATGTCTTTGAGTAGAGCTCAGATGTATATAGCAAAGCACATTGCTCTGGTCAGTGTAATAGAGTAGTTTGTTACTGAAGGGTGAAGGAGCACGAGTAAAGCTTCACATCAGGCCTGATTAGATGTGTTCTCCTTTGTAACTGTACCTTGCCTTGTATATTGCAGTATGCTCTAGAACGTCTGAAGGTGATGTGTGAGGACGCCTTGTGCAGTAACCTGTCTGTGGAGAATGCAGCTGAGATCCTCATTCTAGCTGACCTACATAGTGCTGATCAACTGAAAACTCAAGCTGTGGACTTCATTAACTAGTGAGTTTACTTGTGGTCCAGGATGCAATAAATCTGGAGGAAAGTGGTGTTTATTAGCAATAGGGGTCACAACCTGGGAACTGTCACATGCAGGGGAGCTTCTCCTCTCTTATTTCTCTTTTATAGTTCCCCATTGTGGTCCTGCATTTATCTGGCATCTCAGAAGTGGCATTGCCCTAAAGGCAAATTAGTCTTGTCCTGCTGGGACTGTTCAGAGTGTGCAGCAGGACTGTCTCTGTGAGCTATTATGGATCTCTTCCTAAGATCACAAGCACTTTCAGATAGTAGAATATCAGGTAGTTCCTGATGTTGAGGGACTACTTGCAGCTCATAACAGAAAGACCCTTTTCAGTAGGTGTAGAATGACTACCAACTGCTTTGATGTCTGGAAACGGGTTTTAATCTCATTTGTCAGTTCATGCAGTTTTTCTCAGTGCTGTCAATTGCTTTAAAATACTTCTGTGCTGAGTTGTCAGGGTGGATGAGCATTGTGTTCCTGCTGTCCTCCACTGGAATCATGGATGTTTGAGCTTTTCAAGGCCTGTCCAGCATAGAGCTGTGCCAGCAGAGCCAAAGCTTGCAGTCTTCCACAAAAGATACCTAACACACATGCAGGGTGACCCTAAACCAGCACCCTAAAAGCGTGAGGTTTCTCAGGCATGCGGAAAGAATCTCTTTAGTGACTCCTTTTTCTCCCCAGGTGATAACTTAGATTTCTTCTCTCTTCTTTCTAGTCATGCTTCTGACGTCATGGAGACATCAGGCTGGAAGTCTATGGTAGTGTCACATCCCCATTTGGTGGCTGAGGCATATCGCTCTCTGGCCTCTGCACAGTGTCCCTTTCTGGGACCCCCCCGTAAGCGACTGAAGCAATCCTAAAGTCGTCCTTGTTGCACCACCCCATGTTTTTCTGGAAGCAGCATCATCTGTTGTTGCTGCTGTAACCTTGACCACCAGGTAGACAGCGAAATCTGTGGAGCTTTTACTCTGTTGTTGGGGGGAAGAGACTGCTTCGTGACACCCAGACTTTTTAAAACAGCACCAAGTAACTTGGGGAGAGGGGGGAGGGTGGGCCTGGGGCTCTGGGGCTGTTCAACCTAACGAATCCCTGTCGCTGCATCGTCTGTGTGTTCCCTTCGACTTGGCTGAGTCAATTAAGTCCAGGGTTCGGTTTAGGCACCAACCCAAGTCGGAATAACCCAGCAGAGGTCCTGGGCAAAACAACGTCTCTGCGTCTGGCAGCACAGAACAAATCGTCAGATGCCTGGAGCAAGAGGACATTTTAGCTTTGGAGAGCATTGGAGGGTTAAAAAGAATTCCCAGGGAGGTTCTGGAAAGGAAAGACCTGATGGGAGCTCCAGTAGTATTTATATCAAAACAAAACAAAGAGAATTTAAGTCCTTCCAGCTGAGCTAAAAACTGGACATTTGTGTAACTCCTTATTGCCATCCAGCAACAAGAAGATCAGTTTCTCTGTTAGTAGCACTTGTATGTTAATTGCAAAAAACAAAACCCAAGAAACATTCCCCCCCTTTTATAAAATGACAGGTTGAAGTGAAGGGGACAGTGAAGGGCTGTGTGTTCTGGAGGGGGTGAGAGCCTGAAGGCAGCCTTTGAGCAAGGCTTGGTTTGAAAGGACTATAGAAACTCCTGGATGTGGAGCGTGCTGTCTGACGAGAACAACGGTTCCTGGTTTTAGATATTGTGGGAAATGGTTTTGGCATTTTTTCCTGCTTTATTTCCCTCCCTCCCCTCCCTCCCCCCCCCTTTTTTTTTTCTACAAAAAAGGAGCAAAAAAAACCCAGAAAAAAAGATAAATTTTATTGTTGATGAACGCTGCGTCGAGAGTCCCTGTCCTGAGTTGCTACATGATTCTTAACAACTGTTTGTACCTGACTTGCTGACTGTATAGGAGCCAGTCCTGTTCCTTTCTATTAGTCACTCTTCTTACAGGGAAGAACTTTCAAAATAGCTGGTAACTTTTTTGTTGGTTTTTGGTTTTTTTTTTTTTCTTTTGGAAAATATAAATAATGACTATTTTGTACTGTGTGGTACCTCTGGTCTCTTTATTCCTTCCCGCTTGAAAGCCAGCTCCCAAAAGGTTCCGGTTCAGCCTGCTACCATGAACTGATAGTGCCACGCTGCTCCTGAAACTCAGGTGGGATTTAGGAAGGAATGTTGCACACAGAATTGCAATCCAGACCTAGTTCTCGTGACAGGTACTGCCCATACACTAGGGAGTGTTGGTTTTCATAGTAGCTGTGTGAAGCTGTATCAAAAGGAGTGTGACCAGCAGACTGAGGGAGGTGATCCTGCCCCTCTGTTCTCGTGAGACCCCACTTGCAGCACTCTCTGCAGTGCTGGGGTCTTCAATGTAAGGACATGGAGCTGTTGGAGCAAGGCCAGAGGAGGCCATAAGGATGCTCAGGGGCTGGAGCAGCTCCTGGGTGGAGACAGGCTGAGAACATTGGGACTGGAGAAGAGAAGCTGCGTGGAAACCTTCAGAGCAGCTTCCAGTGTCTGAAGGGGGCTACAAGGATGCTGGAGAGGGACCTTCATCAGGAACTGGAGTGATGGGCCAAGGGGTGATGGGTTCAAACTGAACCAGGGGATGTTCAGGCTGGAGATAAGGCAGAAGCTCTTCCCTGTGAGGGTGCTGAGGCGCTGGCACAGGGGGTCCAGGGAAGCTGTGGCTGCCCCATCCCTGGCAGTGTTCAAGGCCAGGTTGGACAGAGCCTTGGGTGACATGGTCTAGTGTGAGGCATCCCTGCCCATGGCAGGGGGTTGGAACTGGATGATCTTAATGTCCTTTCCACCCCAAACTATTCTATGACCTGTGATCCTTCCTTCCACCTGATGTGGGAAGGGAGAATAGGACAAGCCACCATCTGTTCCATACAGTGAAGGTGCAGAGCAGGATGGCTGTGTAGGATACCCCCATCCACGTGTGTCACTGTGAGCCCCAAACCTCCAAGGAGGTTAGACTGAAATATGCAGTGGCAAATTGAGCTGATCTTAAGATGCTGGTGTAGGGCACTTAATGGATTACAGGGAATAACTCTTGTTTTGTCTCGGAAACAGACCAGGTAGCTGTTGTCTCCGATTTATCTGTTACCATCCTTCCACTCCCAGCCTCTTGTCCATTGGGTGAAGCACATATCTGTTCATTCACTCTTCCCTAATCTATTTTTATCAGGTGGTGACTCATGAAAAGGTCTCTGCCCCTTTTTGTGTTCTTCCTCTCCCCGAGGTTGTCATCACAAACACAACCCTCTGTACAGTAAAGCCTTCCCTTTACGTGCCTGTGAATTCCCATATTGCATCTCCTGCTTGAATGCCACTAATTCCTTTTCTATTGGATTTAACGTGCGTTTCCTTTTAAGTAAGCAAAGCATTTAGTCATAATGAGATTGTCTGCACTACCCTGTCACAGCTCAGACCCCAGCATTTCTAGCTTCTAATTGCAGCCAGGCATGAAAAGTTCATTGCCAGGGAATGGCAGGAGTTGGCTGCGTGGCGCCGAGATGTCCAATGACACTGCAGGAGCTGCGCTGCTTACGGAGAGACTCAAACCTGACCCAGACCTTTGAGCCTCGTCACGGCAGTGACCAACTGTTGGAGGAGCAGCCCTGGCTCCTGGGAAGCAGGCAGGGAATGGGGGTTCATACTGCCTGGCCTCAGCCTTGTCTGGGGAGGGATTTACAGGGAAGCGGCGCAGCTTTGGCAGTCTCCTTCCCTGGAGGATGAGGAGATACCTGCAGGACAATAATCTGCTCTGGGGCTTGGCTGTCCCAGCCCTTCGTGCAGAGCCAGGTTGCAGTTTGAGAACAGGCTGTGGTGGAAGGTCTAAAACGGGCTCTGCGAAGCAGGTGACTTGTTGACGTTGTTCCAGTTGCAGGTGAATCAGGGTTTATTTGTCAACTTCACCTTTTTTTATCTACCTTTTGGGTTGTTTGTTTTTTATTGTAAATGATACAGCTGAAGCCATCTGGTGATAACAACATCAGAGCTGAGCATACTGTTCATAAACCTCCCACTGACATCCTCCCCTCCCCACATCTGAAATGTAATTCAAGTTAACTCACAAGCTGTGGCATGTGTTGTTACTGCAGAGCTGTCGCTGCCAGTTGAACAGTTGGAGATTGGAATTCCACAAGGAGATGGCATATTTATCAAAACAACCTTTCAGAGAGATGTTTCTCCCGGCTCCTGTGACCCGCAGCCGCCACCGGCCCGGATTCAGGATGTAGGTTCGACCCCGCGCTCGGGCTTTTAATTCCTTCTCTTCCCCCTCCTTGCGGGGGCTCCAGGGAGACGTTTCATCCCTATGTGCACTCTTTCATGTGCTGCCTTCTCCCTATTATCTCCTTGCTCCTGCTTCCTCTGCTTGCTTTTGTGCTGACCTAAAGGGGTTGCAGCCTTCATCTGGGTTTGGGGAGGAGAGGAGGGAAGGAAAATCTCTCCTGCATACCCTGACCTCGTCCAGCAGCAGCAGGAGTACGTGTGCCCTACACCCAGACACCAGCCGCTCTCTCCGAACATCCGAACACCAAATATTTCTTCTTGGCCAAAAAGATCTCTTTCTGGCTGCCCCTTGGGCTTTGTTATTACAGACTCAGGTTCTTTTGAGGTGTTTTTCTTATTGTGTGAGTTTTTCCAGATGAAAGGAAACAGCTTGTCTGCTTATGAGCAGAACAAACAGCAGAGTGGGGCGAGCTGCTGTGCTTTGAAACTCTCTCTGGCTTTGTTCTGGTTCTCAAACTGCTGTTAAGGACACACAATACCAGCTCGCTCCTTCTTCTTTCCCCCCACACTTCCTTGAAGGAGCCACAGATTTTCTTTTTCTCTTAAACTTCTTTCAGCAGGTTTCTCAACTTCCGTGCAATTTACTTTGCAAAAAAGGCTTTGCTAAAATCATTATCTGGTTGAGGCAGCTTGGGCCATGCAGTTTTCCTGCCTTTCATGACTGCCATTGAACTTGTGTTGCAGAATTCCTTCACTCACTTCTTTCTAATGCCTTTTTTTTTTTGGTTAATCTAATATGAAGCTATTTAATTATAGAGGGGGTTGTGTTATGGGGGTTGGTTGTTTTCTCCTGGACCCTGCTGCCCACCTGGATCTTTGGCTGCAATTCCAGACACATGCTGCTGCAGCAAATATTGCCTGGGCAATTCCAGGTTCTTTTGTGTGTGTTCCATCTGAAGTCAACTTTCAATGAGCTGCTGGTGCTGATGGGTGCAGAGCAAGAGAGGGAGCAGCAGGCGAGTGCTGGCTTGACCTGCCCAGCAAGAAAACAGGCAAAAGAAACAAGGATACAGCAGGGAAAAACCCAACTATGAGCCCATGAAATTGGTGAGGAAAGAAACTGCAGTCACCTGGAAGACTGTTGGAAGATACAGATGCTAAATAAGGCAGGAGCAGTGGACTTTAAACCTGGTTGAGGTTGGGTAGAGAGCAGAAACTTCAGCTGAGTGCTGGGGTAAGTTTGGGTTTGGATTTTGTGTCTTGCTCCTACTTGATGTATTCGACTTTGTCTCTAAGACTGAATTACTCAGATCACTTGAGGAGATGTGTTAATTGGTGGTAAGTCAGGAAGGGATGGAGAGAGGATTGCAGTTATTCCATCAGACTATGCAAAATCCCAGGCAGGAGAGGTACAAGTGATGGGCTCCTCTCTGAATACTTGAAAAGCATCAATGGCCAAAAAAAGGCAGTTGAATGAGCTGGTGGATAATAAAGTGGATGGGAACTGGAACACTTCCCCTAGCTCTCCAGAAGGGAGGTGATGTCCTGTGTTACTCTGGAGCATTTAATCCGAATGCAGGAATGTGACTTTGAGCTCTGCCATCGGGAAACGGAGCAGGGATTGAAGAGGAAATCGTTGACTCTTGCCACTGGGGAGCAGTGTTGAGGACAAGAACTTTCAGCTCTTTGTACCGAGCTGCTAATGAAGCTTTCTGAGCCTTGAAGTAGCCAGAAGTGCTCATTGAGCAGTAATGAGACGAAAACAAGCGAAAACCATTCTCAAACTGGTGTTGTGCTTCTCCTGGAAGGCTCCGGGTGGATGTGGAGCTTATCCCGGAGCATTCTGAGGCATGGAAAACCTCCTAGAGAAGGCACTTGACAGGGCTCTGGTTCTGACATGGAGGGAGGTGGGTATGCCTGTCCTCAATACTGAATAGCATGGCATCCTAGAGAGCAACATCCTTGCAGGGATGGCTGCAAGGCTATTCCTTGCTGCCACGTCTAATGTGATAGCTGGAGTGCTTTTTATCTGCTCTTTTCTCTTAGATAAGGTGAGATGAAGCAGGTTAAGTATTAATTCTTAGGATAGTTTCATCTCATAACTGAGGAGGGTCTTTATTTCCTGCCCACACCTCCTTATTTCAATGCTACCATAGGACTGCAAGCTTTAGGTTGCTTT